AAAATAGTACATATTTCACCTTGTTTATAAGAAAAACTCCCAGGGAGACTGGAGAGAGAGTTGTATTTTCACATACTGTAAAGCAATAGGGAAAAAACCTGCAGAGGAGTTTTCTTTCTACATCTTCATTAAATGTGTGTAAGTCACACAGTGCTGCTTTTATATAAAGTGCTGCAAGCTCGCATGCCTAATGCTAAATTTCACACTGAACAAAACCAAAACGATGTATGCAGCCATTCATACACGCACAGATATTGCAAGTGCCAAATACAAACCCCCTCACAGCACACAGTGCTACTGTGCACCTCCAAAAGTCATGAAAACCATGCCAGCTTCTAATATCTCGTTTAGAATGTCACCCTCCTCCTTCAAACTTGGGCCTTTTAAGAAGGTTTCTTTCTACTCAAAAAAATCTGTCCTGTCACTTCCACCCAGACCTTCTCTCACAGGGGAACAAGTCAAGTGGAGCAGCCCAAAAGCTACAACTCTCCTCTGCAGTTCTTTCATCAAGAAAATGAAGCAAACCCCGCATTTGTCTAGCTTTGGTAACACCTCTCTAAACTTCAGTTTTGTTTTGCTCAGGATACATGCATGCTGGACATATCTTTCCCAGCAGGCTTTGTCCATGTTTCCCATGAAGAAAAGGAGTAGCTTGAAGAAGGATCCCTCTTGAAGAAGGAGGTCCCTCACTTGGAGACCAAGCATCCTGCTCCAGAGAAGTGCTTTTCACTCTCTTCTGCTTGGTATTTCTGCTACCTCCAGTGAGACTCACCCTCTGCATGGTCTCTGACCTCTCCACCTTCATCCCTAGTGAACAGATGCTCCCTGACTCTGTTACTCTCAACTTCTCTGAGGTTAAGTTCCTAATAAATTCTGCGTCCTGAATCTTGCAACGAAATTTATGTGGGAGAAGGTTACTGAAGCTAAGGATGCCATTACATATTTTAGCACTCCAGCTTGTACAAGATCCACATATGGTCACTACTTGAATGACCACAGATGTCCCCCGTGGAGATGGCATAAGCCTTTGCCTTCTCTCACTCTTCTGCATTCACACATAGACAGGTAAATTAAATGGAAGTTGCAACTCAAAGTAAGAAAAAGTTCAAAGTTACACCTGCACTGCTACAGTTTCTGGCAAACCACTAATGTTACAAGCCAAGAAGTGTCATTCTGGAGCACCTGCCAGGTCTTCAGGAAGAAGAGTAAAACCTTCTTCCATCCTGCTCCATCCTTCACCCTTTATCCTACAGAGGAAACTGCGTGATTAGTTTACAAGGAGCTTCCCATCTACCTACTTGTTTCTGTTATGAGACCTGAAAGCAAGGTGCCTGCCACCGAATTACTGAAGAAAAGTCAAATAGCAAAGATAGGCTTTGCATTCTAATCTTAATACAAAACAGTGTTTAGTGCTGGAGCTGCACCTACATCCTGGCACGAAGAAAAAGCCCTGGGGTGCTCCCAGCCATGGGTCCTGTTCCATTCATCACTGGAATGCCAACCAGACGTGCATCTAAGACTTGTCATGGATGAAGACCAGCAAGGACACCCCAGCAGAAGACTGACAGTACAAGTGGTCCCCAATCTGCACCCCAGCACCAGAGTCCTGCGAGAGGAAAAGAGGGGCTGACAGCAGGCCACAGCGTGCCCTCCTCCCATCTGACATGGTATGTTACCCTGACAACAAGGTTCTGTGACAGCACACATGTGAGACCAGTGAGTCCCCAAAAAAGCAAAGGGTTTGGGAGGAGACGAGGCTGCCTGCACTTCTTTATAGCACAGCTACTTCTGTGGGGCAAAGCACCACAGGAGAAGGCTTTTATCCTCAAAAACATCATCTGGAGGAAGAAAAAAAGCACCAATCAAGGAAGAAAAAAAGCAACTCAAGCACACACTCACTTCCCTAGCAGCCCATGAAAAACTTACCTACTCCACAACCAGTTACGTTTGACAGCAAGCCTTGGTAATATTAAAATACAGAGGTGCAAAGGGCACTCAGCACTAGGAAAGCCTCAATTCATGGGACCGAGCCTGCAGTGAGGGCCACAAGGTTCAAGTACACAAACTGCTCTTTAACCTTACTGACACCAGTGTAATCTTGCAATGTCCCATCTATGTGCCAAAGCTGAAGTGCAGGTGCCAGCACATTTGGAAACAGCTAAGAAATTGCAATGTGTGTAATTTGCCCTCCTATGACAGCATTGTGGCATGCCTTCAGCATAGAGTTACAGCTCCTCACACCACCACAGGACTACAGAGCCATACAATGATGTTTTCTCTTGTATGTTAGCCTTTAGTTTGGCCTTTCACTTAACATCTGCCCGCGTTAGAGAACAGAGAAAATAAGATGCACATTTCTCACAAACAGCTATTCTTCAACTCTGAGAGCATTACTAGAGGATTTGACATCAGCACTGCCAATCTCAACATGTCAGCCCTGCTGTGCATCCACGAATTGCCCCGACAGCAGCAGTGCAGCCCCGTGCTCTGAGCACGCTGGTCCTCCCTGCTCCCCGCATGTGCGCACAGGCGACAATGCCCGCGGTCACTGAGCTCCGAAGGTGGGAGAGACAGCTCTCACCTCGCCCTGCAATAAACAGGCGAGTCCTGTTTCTCCCACCAAGAAAATCGCAGGTGGACAGAAAGTGCTTGTGGAGGGAAATCCAGGACAGCTCTCCTGAATGCGAGTGCCGGGCAGACAACGGCGAAGAGAGCCCCGCCAGGGCAGGGTGAGGGTGGCCGGGGGAGCCCCCTCTCCGCCCGGGCACCAACACACCGGGCACCGGTCCGGTGCTACGTGACCGCCGGGGACACAACTTTCCCAAGTGCGGAGGCCGCGCCCCTCGGCTCCTCTGCCAGAGCGGTGCCGATGATGCCAGCCCCGGATCGGGGCAGTGGCTCCTGCGGGGTCAACAGCTCCGCGATGCGGGGCCGGAGCAGCCCCCGCCCGGGGCCGGCCCCCCCGGGTATGTCCCCGCTCCCCGTCGAGGTGTTTACGCGAGGTGTGCTGCGGCAGCCCTGTTAATTAACCCAGCGCTTATCGCCGGCACCGGCAGCTGCCCCGCCCGCCACCGCCTCCCTCGGAAGGACGGACGGACGGACGGACGGACAGACCGGCGGGCGCCGGGGACGGGCAGCAGGGAGGCGGCACTGCCCGCACGGTCCCGTGTCGGGTGCGCGTGTGGTTTGTTTTTGCGACCGCCGGCCGGAAAGCTCCGGTGGGAAAATGATCCGCCGGCATCGCCGGAGCTGCCACTTCCGCGGGTAGCGCCGGGCGGCAGCCGGGCCGCCTCCCGCGCCCGGCACGGCGGGGCACGGCCCTTCCCCGCCGCCTCCCTCCTTCCTCGCCCGTCAATCCCCACCCTCCGTGGGCGGGTGGGCGCCCGTGGCCGCCCGGCCGGGTACCTTGCAGGCGGAGTAGACGCCCAGCTTCTCCAGCTTCTTGGCCCGCGGCGCGGCGCGCAGCTGCGCCTTTTTCCCCGCCGTGCGCGCCGAGCCGGGCCCCCCGGGGCTCTCGGCGGCGCCGCGGACCGGCCCCCCGGCGGTCACCGCCGAGGCGGCCGGGGAGCCCTGCTGCAGCCCGCCCGCCGCCCCGGCCCCGGCGCCGCCAGGCTCCGCCATGCCCGCGGCGCGGCGGCAGCCGCCCGTCCGGCCAGCCGGCGCGGTGCGGGGCGACCGGCCTTAGACCCTCCCCTTCGCCGCCGCCGGCTGCTCCCCGGGGGGGCGGGAGGAGGGACCCGCGCTCCGCGGGCGGCTCCTGCCCCGCCGGCGGCGGTGGCGGGAGGCCGGCGCTCGCCTCCCGCCGCTGCGCACCGCAAGGGCGCGCCCGCCTCCCTGCGCGGGGGCTGCGCGGGGGCTGCGCGGGGCGGGCGGCGCCCCCACGGGAAGGGCGGCGGCGGCGGCGGCACCCGCTGGGTGCGGGAGCCGCTACGGAGCCATCCCGGCCCTCCGGGAGGCTGCGCGCAAAGTTGCCCCAGAAAGAGGCGGCATCGCCCGCGGTGTCGGGCGGTCCCGAGCCCCGGTGAGCCCCGATGTGCTGCTGCCGCAGCCTCCGTGGCTCCTCGGAGTGCCGCTACTTTGTTTGACTTAACCACTGCGTTTCCACATTGTGCACTTTGAGGCCGCCTTTAAAGAGTTCTTTTTTCCTTTTTTTTTTTTTTTTTCCCCCTCCCCTGATGATTTTTAATTCAATACGTAAATATGGGTCCGTTTGAAATACCGGATAATTCAAAAACTCTCTGCTCAGCTCTTCGTGTCGTGGTTCTGAGGCTTGATTTGTTTTTTTAATATTCTTCTTCTTTGTATCCGGAAACAAGTGTTGACAGCAGGTCAGCTTATGCCTTAAAGTGATTGCCTTTTAATTCAAAGGTAAAATTACGCAAATGATCCTGCCATAGAGACTTCATATACGGGAGCCAAGTGCATTGTGTTTGAGGCAGTTCTGCTCCGTTGCACGTATGTAAAAACGTGGTTGAGCTGTGAGAAACCACAAATGGCAATTCTGTAGAACTGCACCGCGGTTTAAAAGGTTGGGATTGAGGCTGGGCGTTTGCGTGGAATCTACGGCTCTTTGATGTGTAAACCTAAAGAAGTAGCATGAGTTTGGAAGGGAATCCCAGCGTAGAGAGAGCTCTCCCAGGCACAGGCCCTTGCCACCTTGAATGGGGCAAGCAAAGATGACTCCAAACTTGAACAAAGTTATCAGTAGCATTTAAAGGGCGGGGGGGGGGCCGGAGGAGAAGGGGGGCTATGGTGTGACAAAACCCTTTCCCTGAGGTCTCGTTCCTTCTTCCTCTTCTCAGCTCCTGGGGATATTTTCCAGCATAGGGTTATACGGCGAGTTTGCACATTCATTAAACAATGAAAGGAAAGCAATGGAAAACAATGGAATGAAGTGTTATAACATTTCATGAAGCGGGGGATGGGGAGTCTGTTGTTTTTCTTTATTTACTTATTTATATTTTTATTGTGCTGAGGTTTTAAAATCGGCAGTGTTGTTGATGGGGGTCGGAGTCGGGAACTGCTCGCCGGCCTCCACCGCGGGCTTCTTGGAGCCGGGGTATCCCGGGGAGCCCGCGGCAGAGGTCGGGGCTGGCTTTGGGCTTCCCAGCAGCTGTGACAGCGACCCGTAAGATGGCTGCTGCCATCCCTGCCGCTTTAAGACGGACTGGTTAAAGTGGAGGAGCCGCTGCCCTTGGCAGTAACTGCCTCAAGCTTGACAGCAAATTAAACGTGATTTAAAAAACAAACAAAACAGTTTCTCTACAATTTAAGAATTATCTTTGTATTTTTTTTAAGTGTCCGAATCGTGTTTTAAAATGACAAATAGCCTCTGTATGGTAGCAGCTACTTAAGAAGATCTTTGCATTTTTTATGCCGGTTAGGTTTCTACTTTCGGAGTTGAAAATGAAACTGTTCTGCTTAGTTTCGCTTTCAGCTTTCCCACGACTCCTCCTCGGCAGCAAATGTTACGAGCAAAGAGCGCATCTGTAGCAACACGCTGGCTCTGATGGACCTCTTAATACCCACCCCTGAACATACACTCCTAGTTTTTCTGGGAGCTGCTGTAGCCTTTAAATCTCCCTGGACGGTTTTTTTGTTTGTTTGTTTTTCCACCCAAGATTATCAGGTTCTCCTTTAACCAGTTAATTAATTATATTTAACCCAGCATTAAGTTCGCACACTTGCAAATAATAAATTATAAGTTTTGATGCTGAAAATACCTTTACTGTTTTCACACTGGTAACTCCACTGATGTTCATTAAGGCAACTTGGCAGGCATTTATGTCTGAAGCTGCACAGGTGAATGACCTTATTCTTTCACCTCATTCATTCTGCAGAGTCCTTAAAAGCCTGACAACTTATTGCTGCCATTAAAGTAAAATTAAATATGAAAGTTGTTAGGAAGCAGATACTGACTTTGGTTTAAATACCTGAATGTTTCTTTACATTTCATGGTGTGTTTATGAGGGTCTAATGGGAAAAACACTGCTGTAATTCATACAGTAAGGCACTGGTTGGTATAAAGGCAAAAACCACTTTTCTTGCAGTTTCTTCTTGAATGCCCAAGAGCTTGGCTGTCTTACAATACCGTGCCTCTTTTTTTTCCATTATACCTTGCTGCTTACCAGATAACCAGAACAGTAAGTCTACCAGCCTGTGACTACAAATACAGTTACTATAGTAACATTTATAAACACTAATGTCACTACACATGCAGAACTGCTGCCTGCTAGGAACTGCTTAGAAAGAAATCACTCTTTAGCTGCAAATAGGTAAGTCTTTTTTTTTTTTTTTTTTAAACTTTAAACCTGATTTAAATCATTGCTCACCTTCTAACTTTGTGGAAATGTACTTTCAAAACCAAAAAGAAAAAAACTTGACTTTGTCTTAAACTGCTCCAGTGAAAGATAAAATGTTACATTCACAATTTTGGCAAGAACAAGGAGTGAAAATACCATTTGCTGTATGGAAATGTGGGACTATAACTTGGGTTGTGTTGACTGGTGGCTCCAATGAATGCAATTAGGTCACAACAGGTTGCACTACAGTAGGAAAAACAACAACAATGAAAAACAAACAAACAACCCAAACCAAACAAAGAAACAAAAAAAATGCTTTGACATATGAATGGATAGGTGTCATTGTTGGTTGCATATATCCAAGCTGGTTTTTTCTGTTGGCTGAATTCACCAGTAGAGCATACACTGGTTTTCTAATTATAATGTATGCATAAATCTGAGCACCACACAATCCCTTTGTTGCTCAGTTTTTATCATTTAACATGCACTATGAAGATATTAAAATAGATTAAAACTCAGATCATTGTCTGAAAAGCCCTTGCCATCTTTTTCAGTTTCTGTCCTTTGGGGCATATCAGTGGGTTTGCACAAGTCGAGCTGACTCCGAAACCCGCATTAGGAAGTACTGGTGGGAGGGGTGACCGTGGCTGCCTGCGGCCTGCCTGCATTGCTCAGCCCACAAACTCAGGTGGGTAGCCAGGTGACTTCAGGAAGACAAGTCATCTGCATCAAATTAAGTAAGCCAGGAGCTGGGTGAGACACGAGTGCCAGCTCCTGTGGGTTTCAGGTCTCTCTCAGGCTGCTGATAGCCCTGAGGAGGTGCCTGCTCAGAGCCCTTGCTCCCAGGAGGTCAGAGGAGCATCTCATGTTTGTTGCTCCTGCACGAATTCCCTGTGAACACCTGACAGGCTTAAATGCAAGAGCATGTGCGTTATCATTATTCCAGCAAAGGAGGTGGCTGCATTCTGGAGTCACAAACGAGAAATTAAAAGGCAGTTTAGGGTGTGTCAGACTCCTGGTTATTACCTAGTTGTCATTTAGGGCTTTTGGGGCCTATCTTGCTCACATAAGTAAAAAAGTGACTCAACTAATAGCAGCCTAATGCTGAATGCTACCTCTCTGACAGGGACCACTCAGCCTGCAGCCGAGCTCTGGGAGCTCACCTCTACCCCTCATCCCTGCCTCTCAGCCTGGTCAGGTCTGGCGTGCCCAACCCAGCCTTGTCTCCCTCTTTTTATTCAAGATGGGTCTTTCTTCCAGTGCTCCCACATGTTTTTACTCTTGCCATTCAATGCAAATATGAAAAGTGTAGCTCTTGCTCCTCCATGGACTTTCTGTGAATATAAAATCCTAGTGTGTCCGTCCTTTCATTAGCGCATTCCTTATGGGTGAAATGGCCTCTGTCTTGGCCACCACGCGTTCAGGACTGCTATTGATATTTTATGAATCACTGGTAGTATTAGCAGTGCAAAAGTTTTGTTCACTATGCTGTCTCCAGCATCTCATCCGCTTCCCGTGGCGCTAAGGTGTGACTTTAATAATGCAGATGGCAGACCTTCCCATTAGGCTTTTGTCTGTTAGAGGAAACTTCACACCCCAATTACCCAGTTTTTAAAAGAAAAAGATGCAGAAAAATAAATAGAAAAAATGTCATTGCAGCACTCATGGCTGTTTCAGTCACACAAACTTCTTGTTAGTAATGGAGCATTTAGCAGTTTTTATATGCTTCTTATGCAGAAGATGCTCTTCTTGACTGCAGTCAGAGTTTTAGTTTAACACAAACCAAGTGAGAAAACTGAAGGCTTGAATCATGCGACACAGGACAATCACTTGTGCTTTTACACAATATGAACTGTGTGAGTCAAGTTCAGCAGCTGTTTGTTAAAGTTATTTAGTCATCGCCAGTCACTACATAGGCTGTGTTATTTTATGGTACTGACAGCTCTGGATTGCTTCATACAAACATGGGATATACTATCTATTTTTTCCTTACCTTCTCTTTCTTCTGACTCCCCCCAATTCTTTTGTTGATTCCTTTCTCTAACGTATTTTTCTGTTCTTCCTGCTCCTTTGTTTGTGGTAGAGATCCCCACAATTCTCTGGGACCCCACTTGGCATACTTTGACTGCCCCTCTTTTGACAGTTTTGCAAACTACCCCGTCCCTGTGTAGGGCAGGTCATTTGCTGCTGGAAGTCTGACAGACCACTGGGAGACTGGCACAGGCTCTGCAGGCAGAGATGAGAGGGAAGAGACCTCCTTTCTGCTACCTGCACCTGAGTAGCTGCCAGCCAGCACCCTTAATATGACACCAATTTAGATAATAAAACTCTACATAGAAAATTCCTATTATTTCTGTAAGACGAAGTTAACAGTGGCCTAAGAACATCTGACTGTGCAAACCCAGTCATGGGCCTTCCCCATATCAGTGTGGGAGGGCACCTGGAAACCCTAGGAACTAGGAACACAACCTCAAGCACCACAGCTAACCACTTGGCCAAGCAGAAGAAATTAAACAGTTGAAAACCTCCATTTACATCAACTGTAATAGTGCTGTGTACAGCTGAAAAAAACCAGAGGAACCCCAGGAATATGGCAGCAACCCCAGATGTGGGCTTGTGAGGTGAGGGAGGCAGGATGTCACCGGGAATGCAGAAGGCACAGTTGCGTTGTCTTCACCCATGTTCCACTTTCTGCCACAGCTTTCTCTTTGAGGATCTCCAAAACCTCATATACCTCCCCTCCCATGCCAAGGCTATCAGGCTTGTCATCCCCACTCAATGCTTCACTGCCTCTCTGCCTCACCCAGGCACTTGGTGGGCTGCAAACTGTTACCTTTGCCCCACCAAGACTAACCCATCTACCAGGAAGAGCTGCTACATATCTGGAGTGTAAACAGAAATAGGTTTGCAATTGTTTTGCTACTCCCATTTCCCAGTTTGATGCTTCCTCCCAGCTGAGGAGCTGCATCTCTGCCCAAGCAGACAGTGTCACAAATTATAACTCTCGTCCAAGAAGACCTAATGATGGGGACCCTTATTTTATAGGATGACACAAAACCAGTGGACCTGGATTCCCAAGATTATAGTTTTGGACAACACTTAGGAAGATAAATAAGGAGACTAATTATCTTAATTTATTCCATAATTATTTTAAGTAATAATCACTTCCTTCTTTCTTACCTATCATCAGGTCTAGAGGCAGGAGTGTTCCCAAGTCCTGAATGCAGGCTCTGCCCCCAGCATGCTCCCGTGACTCACCAGGTTAGTCTTTATCTCTTCCCACACCTTTCATAACTAGACTTCCTTGAAACTGCATCATTGCTTCTGGGGATGCAGTAAGTAGGCTACACTGTGCATATCTAAGTTGACTCACCTGGGAGAAGATGTCTTGTCCCTTCTGCATCATTCCCTCTGCAGATGGTTTTAGAGAACAAGAGGGCCAGCTCTTCTAAAAGTGGTGAAAGGTATAGGGCATGGCAGCTGAGTTAGCCAGTGAGTTCATCTTTTCAGGTGAAGTTTTTGGGAGGTCTTATATGAGTTTAAGAAAGGCTACATAAGGGTTTTCACATAAGATATTTGCCCTTTGCTGCTTTGGCCAAAGATGACCATGTAAAGCTGGGACCTGCTAAGGCAGCACCCACACAGCAGAGGCTGGCTCTGACTGTGCTGCCGGGCATGCACAGCACAACCAAACTGTGTGACAGGGCAGAAGGAAGGGAGGTCACTCAGGAGGAGAGGAATTGGGCTGAACACCTGGAGGCAATGAAGCCATATCCTGGCATCACAGGCACACAGGGAAAACAGCACTGAGAAGGAAGTGCTGGCTGAGGCATGAGCAAGAAGTAAAGCAGGGAAGAAGGAAAAGACAGACAAAGAAGCTGGTGCTCGTTCAGCAGGGATGCGCAGCAGTGAGACCTGTTTATACATACTAGTTGATAATATTGTGATTAGAAACTCAGGGAGACTGTGACCTCCATTTTACATCACACAGCCCTTCTCTGCCTTTTCCTGTCACCCACAGGCAGATAGGCAGGCATCTTTCCAGTGCTGGTTTCAGCATCAATAATAGTCACCATTTTCTAAGACGACAAATATGTAGCAAATAATAAAACCCACAAAACTCACAGAGGAAGGAGCTCAGGACTAGAGATTGGGCAAGTTAAGTTCTGATGACACCAAAGGTAAGTGAGGAAGAAGCACTGTCTAGGTGGAGATGGGAATGACATGTGTCAGAGAGAGATAACTGCATCTGGGACTCTTCTGTTTGGATACAAATCAGATCCTGGATCCTCAAAGCTCAGGGACATCTCCCATCTTCACTAATTACAAAATGAGATTGTAGTGCCAAACTGCAGAAACAGAAAATAATCTTGCCTTACCATATTAACAGCAAGCAGCTCCAAGTGTCATAGCTAGAAAGGTTTTCCAGAAATACGAGATTTACTGGGACAATGGTATCCTCTGCCTTGTGCTCTGCTTCCATTTTGCCCGTCATAGACAAGCCAATGTATGACAGAGGAGCAGCCTTCCTTTCCGAGTAGCAGGATTAAGTACTGACCAAGAGGCTCTTTGTTATGACACAAACAGTAAATATGACTTTTTGCCCTTGAAAATATGTGCAGTCTCAAACTGTGGTTTGCTCCCCATTCTTCTACATATAATTTCTTTTTATCTGCTTCTATTTTCACCTGAGAACATTAAAGTGTTTCTGGCTCCATAAATAGGCACAGGGAAACTGCAGTGAGCTAGAAAGCTGATTTTTATCTTTCATTGAGGCTGGAATGCTTTAGCTTTGTGTATTCTGCTTTCAGTAACTCACTGTTATCCTTTAACCTGACAGCAAAAAACCTCTGAGTCTATATCTGTTCCTGATGAGGGAAATGCAAGGAGAGAATGAAACACAGGCTAATCTTTTTACTTCATAAAAGATCAACAAAGGAAATGTTTCATTTTTTACTCTATTTTTACAAGGTTTTTAGCTATTAACATAAGCAATTTATGCATACTATAAAAAAGTATCAGGGCTGCCCTTTTAATAATTATAAGCAGATTTATTACAACTGAAGAGTTGTAGCGTATCTTGCTATGTGAATTATTATGCATATTATCCTGGTTATTTACACATTGTAATTAACTGAGACTGTTTTGGTGCTTTGAAATTTGTGATTTGTTAGCACTTACAGCATTTACGGAGATATAAACATCTATAAAATGTATGGGAGTGTTAAGAATTAAGTTTACTGAGGTCAAAGTATCATTTTGCTGAAAAGATAGTTTTCAATTTCCTCTCTCTAATCCAAGAGGGTTTTATATACACTAAATGTAAAATGGAATCATATTTAAAAGACTGACAAAAAAACAGCTTACCAGACTTTCTCTGTATATTTGTCCTAATTTTTCTCAGGCCTGAATGGATCATCATAATGACAGCAGTGAAAAGGCTTTTGCTGTCTCCCAGTCTCAAATTCAGTCTATGCAGAATAAAGGAAAAAGAGATCTGCACAAGCCTATCTTCTGCTGCTGGTTTAAGCATGTCCTTCCTTATTTTGTCCTGCTGAAATGGTGCAGCACTTTTAGAGGAGGCTGATGCTCACCTCTTGTAGAGAGATGGACTTTCCCATAAAGTGGTCCTACAGCAGATCGAGAGCCGTAGCCACCAGCAAACCACCTCTGCAAGGATAGAGTATACTGCAGTCATAGGGGGTTTTAAGTCGCTCTGCTAATACTGTTCACCCTCCACAGAAAATATTTTCTTTTTAAATGTTATAACTGATCTACCTCCGCTGATCAGAGGCACTTGATTCTTTAAGATGTATTAGGATTAACTGGTGTTGGAGGAGGCTGGGGCTTTGAGTTCCACATTTTATCAGACAACTGTCATCACAGGAAAGAGTGCACATGTTGAAACACAAACCACAGAAATGCTTATAATACACAGGCAATGAACAGAACTAGTGAGACAGAGGAAACTGTACTTCCTAGCTGAAATCCTGGAAGAGACAACAGCTGCAAAATAGTTATTCAGGTGTGACTGTGTCAAGTGTAAAGAGAGAACCCCAGTAACTGGATGAGATTAAAGTAGGATGAAATTACCAAAGGCTGGTCTTGTAATGTGGCTGTGAGATATTTCTGCTGCTAAACTACTGTTATTTGCCCTGGTGATGGATTAACATCAGTTAACAAAGATTAACTGAAACAGAAATCTCAGAAGAGAGAATACAAAAACCTCTGCATTTTTGTCTGATATTTCTCATCCATACACACATAAACACTAAATACTAAAAAATCAACTTGAATATAAAGACTATGTTTTCATACTTAGTAGATAGATGATATATAGGCTGGCAAGCTGAGCTACTCACATGGTGTCAGGATTTTGTGTTGTTATGGTGTCTGTACATGTATGTCACATGCTGATTTAGAGAGAGCATATTATGCAAGAAGTAGCTCGTATTAAAATATTCCAAGCCTGAAGCAGAATAATTTGAAAAAATCCTAGATAATATGGTTTAGCTGTTGCTGAGAATATGATTTGGAAAATATGTTGTTCTGCACATATGAAACCAAAATCCTGATTATTTTCTAGAGAATGTCCAAGATTGTCAGGGTTTAAACTACAGATTGGCAATTTGGCTGAAATGGCATCAGCAGTGCCTCTTTTGTCACTCTTATCAATTTACCCAAATCAGAACAAGACAAAATATTTAAAAAGCAGCAACAGTTTGCCCATGCCAAGTAGAGACAGCATGCAGGTGCTGAATTTGGGCAGTCCCCTCTGCACCAGTTGGGCTCTATCAGGAAGCACCTCACTAGGAGTTACTCTTGCAGCTCTGACTCCTGGGGTTGTAGTGCCAGGTGCCAGACCTAGGAGTGGTGAGACAGCATCAAAGATGTAGAGTGAGGTGAAGGAGACTGAGCTGATGAGGAAGCGGAAAGAGCTGGAGCAAAGAGCTTAAATTTAAAAAACAGAGGTGCACAGGGACAGGAAGAACATACGAGCTTCAGCCTGGAGAATGGGCGGAGAGGCTTGTGCTGATTAGACCCTATGAAGTCCTTGCAGTACCTAAATTCTAGATTCCTAAATTTTCTGACACAGATAAGCAGAAGATTGATTATTCATTTGAATTCCACTCCCACTTAATATTGTGATCTTGCCAATATCAACAATACCGGTCCTTTAAAGAAAGTAAATAATTCTTTGATAAAAGCCCTATTAATTTGTAAAGATAAAAATCCCACGTGGCAAGGAAACACAAAGATAGGTTTATTGCACTAGACAACTATGGAAATAGGTCAGATACATGTTTTCTGGAAATTCGTGATGGCTGTCACAGTGCGACAGCTGCAGAAACAGTTGCAGCAGAGCTTCCACTTTTATTTCTTGACCAGCGTTCTCAAATAGATTCCTCCTACAAAAATAAGAAGGACAAAGTGCAAATTCTAGATTTTTTTGTCCCCCCATAATAATCAAGGCAGATTATGGGGAAAAAAAAGAGAAGATATTCTGACAAACCAGGCAATGACAAGACCAAGAAGATTAGTCCTTACAAATGGATTCACAAAGCGTATGCCAAGTCCTTTAGGTGAATGCAGAGATTTTTACAGCTGGTAAGAAATGAGGTTTCCAAAGCTCACTGGAGTGGCTGTTTAGTGGTTACCTGTTTGGTGGAAAGCGTTCCCAGCAAAGAGACAGATGGTACTGAGGTAGAAGAGAGAAAACATTCTGAAAATAACACATTAGGCAGGACGGCCAAAGGTATTGCTGGACCATTGTACTTTACTATTATAGGTATATACATAACAAACCGGAATTTTTTTCCCTTCATGCAATAAAAAAAAGCAACAGTTAACCTAGATGTTTCTTGGCAGTCAGTGTCCGCAGATAAAAAGCAGCAATTCCTTTAGCCTGACAATGTTAAGCAGACGTGATAAATTCCCTTGCAACTGATACTGCTATCAGACAATAGTATTCAGCCTATTAGGTAAGTTGCCTAAGCATGATATTTGAATTAAAACAGTAAAATCAATTTACTGATGTAAAAGAGTTAGGAAACATTCCACATTACACAAGTGACCTCTGTAAGAATAGCACAGGCTTTTTTTATATATCATGGGGTTTAAGTTGTCATCACTTTATGGCAGTCATTCACAAATCTTCTGCTTTAGATCTGATAAATTCCTTGTTTCAATGAAACATGCCTAAGATATTCTTTTTATTAATTTGTTTCATTGGACTAAGTGCCACCACATTTTGCTACAAGCAAACTGAAAACATATTTTGTGGGAATCTTCTGAATTATTAGTTTCTGAAACAGGCATTGGTTGGCTTTCACTGTTGTTGTTATGGAAGATCTATTCAGACATGCTTCCTTGGGAAGTAGGACATTGCTTTGCCTTCCTTTAGTATAGGAAATCAGTTATTAATTACAACCAGGAACACTGATACATCCCTAATGCTTCTCCACCCACCCCTGCTGCAGCGAACACTAGGCAAAGCTCTTGCACACTAGCAACTCTGGTCACTGTATCTTTCCCACCTGGTGATTTTTGTTACCAATTATATCCTGTTGTGGTCATGAGACAGCTGTAAGTTTACAGGCAAGATGCCTGCTTTCCCACAAAGGAGTGCACATGCAGAATTATGTAAAAAAGCAGGTGGGTGAATAGTTTCAAATGGATTTGTGCCTACAGTTACATTCTGTAGTGTCTTCCAGTCTGTGCTTGAAGCACTTGCCCAGCTCTGTACTAGGTTTCTATCACTCTGCCTGGCATTAGTAAGGAGTGAGTGGATATTGCAACTAACATCAACAGAGGCACTGTTTCCTCTTTGTAAAACTACTTCCTCCTATTTCTGCATATGAAAGTTGACTGAAATTAATCAAGAGGGTCAGAGATCAGTAAGAAAAGGGAGAGTGATTTGAAAGGCTTCGCTGTTTTTAGGAGGCAAAAAAAATTATCATATTTCACATCTGGAAAAACTAATTCCATATATATATATATCTTAAAAGATACTTTTGCTTAACAGTAATTGCATTCCTCTGGCAGTCTGAGAAACACTGTAAACCAACTCGAGCATGCAACTTTACCTCCAACAAGCTTTTTGCAACTATGTGAACTTCACCGTTACAGGTATCAAAACTGGTAGTTTAGCCCTAGCTCCACTACTTTTTCAGGAGACACAGTCATAGCCCTTAAACAGAATACAGAATTAGTTCACATAAAGGTTGGAAGGTTGTTTTCAGCTGCATTTGTTTCCACCTTGTTGTGAAAGAAAACCACTTTATATTCCAAAGAGATTGATGAAGATAACAACTTGGGTTGGATAAATTCTCTACCAGATTTCTTCTTGGTTTTGCTACCTGCTTCCATCCATCCCTCCCTGAGAATTGCTGGCTGCTGTTAAAAAACCCATAAACTCAAGATCTGCTAATGAGTTAAGGCTTGAAGTTGATCAGAGATACTTGAAACCTTTTATGATTAAAATCCACATTTTTGAACCACATTTATTTAATTTAATACACTTAATTTTCCACCAAATGTATCACACCAAAGAAAAAGATTCGCACAACATCAACCTTCATTTCTCCCCCAGGAGTGTGTTCTTAAATAAGTACAGACATGTTCCTTCAGCTCCAGGTAAGCGACTGAAGAGGATGGTCAGATACACAGAGCAGGAGAGGGTGACATTGGCCAGCCCTGTCTTCATTTAGTCCCACACTGATAGGCCAGTTAGGTTTTGTCGATTCTTTTGCTGTCTCTGGTTTGCTGACAAGAGACTTGTACCCAAAAGCAACTGGATTTTACTCCTTGCAGTCAAATTGTTCCACATAGGTTATATTATGCCCTTTGTTAGGCTTACAGCTGGTGGTCTTACTCCAAGGGTTCAAAGGATATTTTACACATTCTTCGAGCTCTCCACAGAAATCAAAGGAAGGAGAGCAAGCACAAGAAAACATTCATAGAGCACACAAGGTATCTACACTGTATAATTAATTAAAGGTGTGTCCTTCAGTTTGATATTCTGAATCACCTTCAAGAGAAATCTGCCTTCGTACAGACTACACTTAGCTGTCTCCTATGCTAGACTGCCAATACTGCCCAAGAAACACTACTACTGTATAAGCAATGCCTACTTATACACACTTTTCAGAGGTCTGTGCCCCTAGTCTAGGCAAATATTAAAAGTACAATATAAATGAACACACTGCAGCCACCTTCATGTCTAGAAAGATACCACATATCTCACTCAAGTTCCTTCTGTAAGACATCACTTTTGGCCTTATGCCAACACACGGGAGCAGACCAATGACCTCCTCTGACACAAAAAATAGTCTCCCAGGGCAGCCATAGAGCATCTCAAATAATACAGCACTTTAGTTTGGAGCTCTTTCCTTTATGCTCTTCGTTCAAGTCTGACAAGACCAGCCCCCTGCAGTGTTGCAATTCCTAACACTTTCAACTCTTGGATTTCAGGAGTGTTGAGGGAAACGTAAAATACCTATGCCTGCTAAAGGAAAGAAGTTAGTCCTCAACTTCCCATGATGACTCTAAGAACTCTTAGTCCCTTGGGTGCTTTAACCAAAGAAGAGATGTAAGGAATCATGTTAGTAAACTAAATTCTACACCATGTCCAATTAATTTTTCAGTACTAAAAATTATATGCTGCTAGAAACAGTCTGAACCTGAAGCTTCTTGATGAGTTCATCTGGCCATAATATTTTGAAAGCACACATTCTCATAGGAGCAAAAGCAAAATGTTTGAAAAAAATACACCCTCTTGCTTAAAAACCAGTCAAGGTGCAACTTTTTTATCAGACTGCACTTTAAGCTGAATAAAATATCGCTTAAGACTCCTCATAAAAGTTTATCTGCAGTCAGGAAAATAAGATTCTGAAACAGTGTTCTAATAATGGAATGGAAAAAAACACAGAAAACTTTGCTGTAAAATAGAAACAAATTCACTGATGGACATACTGTTGCCTGTGGAAGTAGATTATTCAACTATGATCTCAGTTTTTTTCCCAGTCCTTAACAAGAGACTGTTACTGTAACAGCAGCATCTTAAGTAAACCCAACTATAGGCTATATTAAAAATATTTCAGTTTTAGATGACGTATATGTATAGGCTATATTAAAAATATTTGTTTTAGATGATGTATATGCAGTCTTATATGAAAATGGAAAGAGTCACTGCCTCTCAAAAGAGCACAGCACTCATGAGAGAAAACACTTCAGAACGGTGGAAACACCAGCACTAATACACCAGATGGATTAGTAGAGGGGTACCTGAGAATTACAAGAGCTCTTGGACATCACAGAGATGCAATAAAAAGGACATCTGTTATACCTGTAACTTGTATCTGTCCATATCAGATTCTTATTCTGGCTTCTAAAGGGGTTTTGGATTACAATGAAGTACTGGCACCAACTCTAACAACATCTACTCATTTGAGAATGCATGAATGGTGTTCAACGAAACAGGACTTCTCCATCTAAGTGTCAATATTCAATGTCCCTCACTGAAGACAACACAAATGACTTAAATGCTATTAATAATCTCCAAGATTCTAGCACACAAGGTGGTTCTGAAGAACTGAGCCTGTCCACTGTGACAGGCTTCAGAGCAAGAAGAAACTGTTGCCTTCTGTGCAACAGGTCCGACTCATAGCCCTAAACATCTGCAACAGAATGTATTGGCAAGAGGGTCTGAAGTCATGAAGCAGAACCCAAAAGAGAGAAAAACATGCCAGCTAATTGTGACTCAAGTCCACAGCTAGCAAAAAAATGGGCTCCAATGCATTTTGTGACAAACGGCAAGTGATGCTGGTCAAGACCTGCTAAAGTCTGTATAGCCAGTGGGTCTAAACCACCGCCAATTTGAAAGAGACACAAGTGTACCCATCCAATTGCAAATCACCAGCTGCAGGAAGACACACAGTCAGCTCTGAGGCACTACAACAATGTAACAAGCTACATTAGGGAACAACTAGCAAAGACTGCATTAGCTTCAGGTTCAAGAGATAGTATTACTGTTTTGATTGTATTTCTATATGGACATGATAAAATACCCAATTACCTCAAAATTTACCATAGGACAGCTGAAGTGACAGAGCATATACAGGACAGATGTATATTTAGCTGTGTCACGAATTTACTTGTAACCACCTTAAATGCGGACCCATTCAGTAAATCAGACATCTTGTCTGGAACTGTACAAATGCAATAAAACCATCTCAAACTCTCAGTAAGAAACAGTAATCAAAATTTTTTTTAAACCACTTTATTCAAACCTGAGCACCTCAATATAAAACTAAACACTGGTGAACTGTCATTTTCCTTGCTAAACCCAGATTACTGCAAATTTTAAATCTGCACAAGTAAGTTTCTATCAGTTCAACATTTAAATAGACTAATTCATCTCTTCTGACACACCTTGTAGATTTCATATAATGAAAATAACTAAAAGAATTAGTGCAATATACTGGACTGATCAAAATAAAATGTACTTTGGAAAACAAAGTTGCAAAGTTCATTACTGACAGACAGCAGTACTTATGTTACAGATACAGGAGCATCATTTATTACTGTTCTAGCCATAAAGGAAGAACTCAGAACCCCCTTTGATTAGAGAGGAAAAAAGTTAGCTTTAAGTAACTGTACATTCTGTATACCTTTAAGCAACTCTTAAATATTACAGAAAGTATTAAACAAATGTAGACTACAATGCAGAGTACCTATTTACAGTACATTAATATCCAAATTTAAAATCAAGTTGGATGTACATAATCGTTAGTGCACTATTTTTTTCCTTAGGGGAAAAACAAACTGTAATGGCCAGCAATGATCAGAAACAAGAAAAGTCACAGACACCGAGTTTGTTGTGGTTTTACTTGAAGAGCTCTTACAGTTTGTAGAGGGAAAAAAACCCATATCCTAAGTCGTTGAATTGAATTTACTGGTCTGTACCCTCTGAAAAGATTAGAAATTAAGTTAAACTTGATTCATCACTAATTCATTAAGATAACTAACTGGGTTGATATAATTTACATACAGTGTACCAACTAAAACTCCACTGTCTGGCAAGCATAGGATTCTTAAAATTGTTAATGCAAGTATTATTTGTAATTAAATTATCAAACTATGGAATGTATAACTAAATAGTGGATACCTGCAGAAACAACTGGTTGCATCAATACTTCAGATAAGTTTAAGTAATTTTTAGACCCTGTTTCTAAAAAGGTTTTAAAGCACAATTGAGAATTATGAAAAGACCCAATTCTATTTATTATAACAGTAATCAGTATTGAGGCTACAGGAACTGGCCAATTAGGTCCACAGAGAGCAGTTCTTCTATACCCCTAATAATAACAACTGATTTTGAAAATCTTTCAACTGAAGGAAGTTTATTCAGCTTCCATCTCTCCTCTACTGCTGAAACATTATAGCCAGTGGTGGATACATGCATGTTAAAATTTTACCTCAAAAGAAAACTCTGTATCATGAACTTGACTATTATCATAAGTCTCTTCGCTGCTGGGAAGCTGTACTGGACCAGGTTAAGCACTCCAATTCCATGGTTATTAACAGTTAGGAAGCAGAAGAATATTCAGAACAGTTTAAAGCAATTGATCTTTTAGTTACTACAACATTGACTCTTGGGTGGTTGTGTGGGTTCAGTAAGGTCTACTCCTCTTCCTCTGGCAGAGCTGGCTCCTGCATTCTGTGGTTCATTCTTGGGCAATTTTTTTGCTGTAAGATGAACAGGAAATAAGAGTTAAAATAGATTTTACTAAGATTAAATCACCTGAGTACACAAAGTCAACACATTATTACTCTATAAGCATATCAGTATACTCACTGTATAATTGGATTTGATTCAGTGCCTTAGTAATGAAAGAAGTTAAGACACTTAACTTCTTAATGATTAACGCCCTTATCTATGATTTCCAAGCATCAAATGCATTAGTAACTTGAGCAGTAAAATGTATCTGCACAGGTGTGCTATGCCAGCAAATGACAGCTCTTGTGGGAATACACCCACTATGGAACAGGCTTTAAGATCAGGATGTTAGTGAGAAGAGACAGAAACACTGAAAAGGCACAAAACACAGACAGAAATGGGTCAAACTAGTTCCCACATATCCAGCCAGAGTAAGTATTTGCATACAACATATAAAATGGCCCTCAGCACCAGATCAAGCCTCTCTTATTTATTTCAAGCTGTCTCTTCTCTCCAGCTCTTACGAATCAATTGACAGATAAATTTCTTTGTTGCCTTTGTAGCTCTAAGGTACCTCCTCAGTCCTGACATGAAAAATAAGGGCGATAACTGTTGCCTTTCTGAGCAGTAGCTTCTCCTAGATTTCTTCCATCAGAAAATTGCTTATTTTAACCATATAAGTCCATAAAAGGACTTCCATGGGCCTTTCTTGCACATGAACTGGGACCCAGCAACCACCCCTGTTCTACAGTTTGGCCGTGTGCTTTAACTCCAAAGCAATTACTTCAGTCAGCTTTTTAAATAACAGCTTTTCCTGAAAGGAACAAAATGCAGCCAGAAAAACAGCAGAGCACACATCAACAGTGTGCTGTGGTACTAGATAATCTCAGGGCGCTAAGTAATCTAGGCTTCCTTTCCCACAAAAGGGTGGAGCAGACGGATCTTCTGGGGTCCCTTCCAACTTGTGCTGTCCTACAGTTCTGCGACAAAACCCAAGAATTCACATGGTACTAAGCTTCTGAGACAGCACAGAGGGACAAAGCACCAGTAGAAAAATGCCTTCAGAGCACTCTAATTTTGGATTCTAGAACTGTATCTAGAAACTCAATTAGCATTTTCCTTAACTGACAGTTCTTAAATGAACTCTAAAGCAGTCAATTTACAAGCAGCTGTAGCACACATGCCACAGTTCTGTCAGGGTTCTCATTTTTCTATTTTCTCCCAGTTTTGAAGATCATATTTACACGTGGTCCCAAGAACTGCACCATGTTCTGCTGGCTCTTCCAAATTCCATGTAATACTTATAGACTCCGAGATTTCCTTTCAGAGTCCACTGTTGCACAGATCTTGTTCTGATGCACTGACAAAGCTGAATTTCACCCCACTGATGCAAAAGAATATTCACATGGGCAACCAACAGCGCAGACAAAATACCCAGTTATTAGTTAGGCATTGTTTTCCTCAAATTTACTTTATATACTTCATTAAAATATGGAGATGTAAGAACTATTGTTGAAACATCAAATCACAAAAAAAAAAAACAAAAAACACCAAACCCCAACATATTTAGTGATTCTTTTTTTTTTTTATAAACAGGATGCAAACTGCATCATTAAACACGTTAATTCTGAAATTTCACCAGAACGGTGCAATTGAGCATTTCTGTATCACAAAATGCAGGCCTATCTTGAACAATTATGAGAAAAATATACTTTCCTGTCATATAGTTATGCATTTGTGTCTGTCCCCCCTCCCCAAGTATTTATAGTTAATATGAAGGAAGTACTTGTTATAAAGTGTTGCTATAGTGATAATTTAATTCGCATCTACTGGAAGTTTGAAGCGCATCACAAATTATCTTCTGCTTTTCTGACTTGAAAAGCAGAGGGTAAGAGCTCTTTAGAAACATTTAATTTTAACAGCAATGATTTTTTCCACAAGAAACGTGTTGGAGAGGTCACCGTGGTGCAACATACAAAACAGATTTAATGAGGTTATTTGATGCTATACATTATTATTACTGAGCAGCAGAGCTCCTACTGTTATTAAGGTTATTATTTAATAAGCTAGTGAGTTAGTGACTGGCCTAAAATGTATTCTTTCTTTTTCCTCCCCTTTCAAGAGTTTATCAACAATTAAATACAACTTTGGTTATACCAATGGAATACACAAAATTTCTTAATTTATACTTACTATTACATGTTAGCAACTTTACAGAAATCCCTAAGATTATGTTAGGTCTAAAAATTTTTAGTAAATTTACTTTTCACATGCAGCGTCCTTTACTTATTATTTGGACAGCGAATTTAAGCACACATTGCCATCTTTGGCACAACTTTTGGATCTCAGACAGCTACCTAAACAAAATTAAACAAATAAAAGGTCCCAGAAAAACTTCAGTGCCAGAAATAATTCAGGTTACACAAAAAGACCTCAGTGTTAGGAACACTGCAATGGTCTGAATCTCATGAAAAAAATTCTCTTTTAGTTCTTAGTTTGTTCATAAACTCACCAATTGCCATGAATATTTCATTTACGTTCATAGATGTTTTGGCAGATGTCTCCATGAACAATAAACTGTTGTCATCTGCATAAGCCTGTGCTTCCTGCAAGTTAAAATAAAAAAAAATTACTCCATGAAAAAAATTAAAAATCACATAATTAATAGACATTGTACTTTTACTGCTACTAAGGAACAATTTCTATACCATTTTGAAAGAAAGACACTTTGTTGAAACACTCATGTGACAGTGTTATTCATTAGCTATGGAGAAGTTACGATTCCATCAAGCAGCTAAACAATTAGAAATGCAATCTTAAAAATTCTTACTAATCACAAAAATATCCAGATAGAAACATATCAGGCAAAATTAAATTAAAATATTTATGAAAGGGACAACCCAATCCAGAACACTAGCTGTGATAGCAAGAACAAATGAGCTCCAGAAAGTGCCATCAAATGTCAGCAAGCCCATTATTATCTGGAAAGAAGGCAGTTTGCAACTATCTATCCCAAATCTTTCAAGCACTGGGGTAGATGGATCAGAACAATTTCATTATCCTGATAGAAATTCACAATTGTAACAAATAAGCAGTATTAAGTATTTTGCCATGTTATCTCCCTTTTCAGCATGAATTTTCATCTCATACACTGCTCAAAAGAACTTTACTATTTTTGCCACTTCCTATTACTCTATTCAGCTGAGAATCCCCATCTTCCTATGATTATGTAACTGCCTTTGCATTCAGTAAGAAATCTACAAAAGAGCCAAACTCCAAGAGACCTATGATGGAAAAAAATAACCTACAGCATTCTATAATTAAGTGACATCTGCTAAGATGTAACTATACCTGAAATAACACATTAACAAATACCTAGAAATCTGTGATTTGCAATGAGAAAGGACTGTCAAGCCTGCAAGAAGCCCAAAAATCCACATTAGCAAAAACCCTAAAATTTGAAAAATATTAAGATTCTAATTGTTCAAAAAATGTAAAGGTAGGTCTACTTTGGTAGTTAAACTTGATTACATGCAAAACCTCATACTTCATCACGTATCAAGTTTTTGTTAAAGACCACAACTTTTCATAAAATATAAAGATCTTCTGTCACATAGCTTTATGTCACAACTGACATGGAAGTATAAAACTAGAAAAGTGAGTTGTTTTCTAGTTGATTTCACTGCTAACCTTCATAATTCTACTCTAGTTGCAAAAGGATTCACTACTATACACAGCAATATATCACACAGTGACACCAAATACAGATTAAAAACCGTAACAGAATTAACAACTAATAAATACTATCTTAATTCATACTCAGTCAATCATGAATAGACCAGAACTACCAGAAGTAAATTTTTTATTCATTTTGGAAGCTACTTTCTGATGACCTGGCTAAACTTTCTAAAAGATAGAATACAGCAGTGAGAACACAGATATAATCACTAAACTGAAAAAAATGCCATGAAAAGCACAATTAAAATTTGAATACTGCTTCAACAGTACAGCCTAAGGAAGTTAGGCAAATCAATCAGCTTTGTATCATATAATAATCAAAATTCTCTGGCTGAGAAGTCAGAATAGTTTGCACTGAGGTACTGCCATCTCACCAATTGAAACTCTAGTTACTGGTAATTTCCAGTAGAAGACAGAGGTCACATCAAAGAATAGATAATTAATTAGCCTTAAAGATACTCAAATAAATTAGTTATTCCTCCAAGTCAAACCTAATTATTCAAAAAAGTCTATTGCTACATATCACTTGTACAGAAGTCAGTTTTTCAGTAGAATGTATAATTTAATTAGTCTCAGCTGATGTTTATATTTAACAGCATGACCTCCATAACAACTAGCTATGCTATGCATGTAAGCTCCTCCTAGATTTATTTACTATCTATTCAAACAAAATGATATTTCTATGAATAGAAGGTACGTACATACCTGGAAATCCACAGCTCTTTTGTTAGCTAGATCAGCTTTGTTTCCTGCTAAAGCTATTACAATGTTAGGACTTGCTTGTCGCTGAAGTTCTTTGACCCAATTTTTCGCTCTGGCAAAGGACTCCTGTTAATGATTGCAAAATGATGCAACTGAGTTTTATCATCCTTTTGTACTCACCTATTATCCCCATCTGTTATCTACACTTCAAGTACAAAAGGCCAAATGCAAGGCTGCTACCTTAGTCCAAAGGCACACTCCAAATCTCCAACTGAGCTTTTAAAACAAACATTCCTACCTTAGTTCTCAACTGTGCTTAGTCGGGATAATGCTGAAAAAAATCAAGTAAAGATAGGAAGATCTTTATGTAGACAGAGTAAGGAAAGAGAAGTAGTTAGGAGATAAAATGGGAATTTCAATTTCTCTAGAGGAATCAACTGTATGGTCAGCTATATTGAAAGGGTCTCAAAATTACTTCGTAATTACTGAGCACTATTCATTATGGTACAGAATTTCTGGGGTTTTTGAGAGTTTTGGTTTTTAAGTCTTATTTTATTAAAAACAAGTGAAGCTTATCTAAATTCAAATAAAAAGAAATTAAATAACCTTAAGTTGTAGTCTCAATGGCTTGTGCCACCTTTCCAATCTTTACCTGTAATCTGCAATAATACAATATTAAGATGTCTTTCACTATCAGAAATAAAACTGCCACCAGCAATGTGGTGAGAGTAACAGCTCACACTTGGTGAACTGATTTAAAGGTGGGTTTGAAACATTTTTACAACAGAATTTACTTTCTTTCTCATTCTTTATAAAAAAGAAGAAAACCCTCTAGAAATGGTCTTTTGACAAGAAAATAGTTTATAGACATGAAGTAACATTACATAGTCCAATATGAAATGAGCAACCTGGTCCAGCAGAAGATATCCCTGCTCATGGCAGGGACTTTTAAAGGTTTCTTCCAACCCAAACCATTCTGTGATTCTATGAAAGCATGAATTGATTCACACAGGTCAGTGAGAAAAACTAAGGAAAGGTCAACACAAGACTAACTTCCAAATGCCCCTTGTGCCTGCCTATCATAGTACTTACCTCATTTGTAATGTCGTATACCACTATAGCTGCTTGTGCTCCTCTGTAGTACATGGGTGCTAAACTGTGGTACCGCTCTTGCCCAGCTGTATCCCAAATTTCAAATTTTACCGTTGTATCATCCAGACATACGGTCTGGGTTAGAAAAGCAGCTACAAAAAAGACAGAGGTGCTGAAACCAGAAGTCTGCTTATATCTCTATATTCATACAAAATTATGCTCACAGAGATGCAAATATGATTTCCTTAAACAATTCCAGCCTACTATTGTAATATAGCAGGTTTAATGCAAGCATTAGCTGACAGACTGTAACTGATCAGCACAGAACAGTCAATTAAACAACCAGACTTTCCTCAAGTTAAAGACATAAGAAAGGAAGAATTGGAAAGGATTCCCTTTTTTTCTGTAATAGTGAATCTGAGTAACCATAAGCCTTCTTATTATTCTTACCTTCTAGATACATTTCATCCTGCTTCAACACACTGTATTATAGAGTAGCAGTAACAGTATCCCATCATGCTATAATCCCACAGTTCAGATATTTTCAGTTCTACACATTTAAATCACTTGAATAGTATCTTAAAGCTTTGATATTCAGTTCCTGACAACTTCACCTTAGCTAATAGGCATGGAAAAAAGAAGCACTTCTCAAAAGTTCTTGTTATTAAAGCAGCATGACTCTGCAAGTGATTAATGAGTTAATCACTTGCAAGAGTTAATTTCTGCATAATTTCGACAGCCTGCAGTTTCAGGGCAGCTTGCATCCATTGCCACTACAGCCAAATGCATTCCATAAATAATGTTCTTCCAGTTATATAAAAGGGTAAGTAAGTCTTCAGTTACTCCTAGTAAAGTTTTTCCATTAAGATTAAGGTACATGGAGGCCAAATACCCACACAATACAGAAACTAGTCTTACAAAACTAAGGAAAGCCCACTGCTTGGCTGAAGTGGGGACTCTCATCACTGGGCATACTGACAGATTGTGGACAATTTAAATCAAAGGTCTAAAGGGACACTGCCCAGCCTGCATACCTGGGATGTTATCCTGTCCTACATACTTCGAGACATCATAGCCTATGAATCATTCAAAAACTGCTGCAACCTTCAACTTATTACAGAAGCCAAAAGCAAGCCAATCTTTCTTTGTAAAGGACATTGTAACTAGCACACAAAAGTGTCCCTATTTCAGCTGAGAGCCAGCAGCTGCAACTTAGCTGCTGGCTGGGGTTAAGCCATGACAAGAATCTGACTCCTTAAGTGGTCAGGTGCTCCTGCTTCAAGGGTATTACCATCCATCACAGATGAGCAGGCAGGCAGGAGAAGGTAAAGGCTTTGATGTTCCAATGTTAAATCCTCATAAAACTCTTTAAATGCTAAATATCTAAGTATCAGTAAAACAGGCTCCACTTGGCATCTCCTTAAGCAGCCCAGAACCACAACAGAGTGAAAAAAACATCCTACACTAAACTAAGGGCTTCCTCCTCAGAAGCAGCTCAATATTATATTTGTCCAAGGCAGAGATAAGATGTTAAGCAAGTGGATTTTGAAGTTCTTACAGACATTATTGACTCAACAGAAAAATGTACTTAAACTCCATAAATGAAGGTACATACTTGGGAAGAGAATTAAAACAAGATGTTTATTCTATGACATCCTCATTTTTGTCAAAAGAAACACTTCGACCACCTTAAAACACCTGCTAATTTTTGTGGAACAGGTATCCTTCCTGTATCTTGCAAGGCCATAGTAAATTGACAATTAATCAACTGTGTTAATTATCTGAAAGGCTATGATCCTTAACAGCCATACTTTTGTCTTAAGCAACTAACAGGCATTGCTACACTAGTCTGAAGTGGCAAAACCACACCACCACCATCCAACATGTCTGCCTTTAACTTCACTCCCTTTCAGATGTTTTTATTCAGATTCACAATGCACATAAGCCCCTCTTTGTTAAAAGGTCCTTCTGTATACAAAGAAAATTACGCCTTGGGCAACTACAAGCTACACAGTTAGCTTTCGCTACAGAAAACTTTTTCCAAATCCCAACAGTGCTGCATTTAATATCTCTCAGCTGTATTATATGGCATTTTGTTTTTTCTATTTTATACAGAAGAGGCCCAAGTTAATACAGATAACACTAAATGCTATATATCTGAACTTAAACTTAGGCTCTTGTTTGACTTTTGTATAGATTTTAAACAGTGTAACACATTTTGGGTTATCCCAAACAGAAACACTAGAACAAGAAAAAACTAAAAGGAGGTTAAATGAATTGGAGATCACTGAAATGGAACAACAAATTTCACTTAAATTTAACTGTTTTTTTAAAAGCAGAAAATCTCATTGATATTGGAAAGTTAATTCACTATAGATCTTTGAGAATGCTCTCTGTGTTACTGCACAGTTGTATGAGAGAATACAGAAACTTTTTACAGTAACACCTACTCTAAAGCCATTATAAAATGCACAAAGCCAAGTTTGCATTAGTAAGATTGCTAAAGGAGAAAATATGTGGTTCTCCATGTATGCTCAGAGATACACAAAATAAATACATGTAACAGCTAGAAATAGCTCAAAAGAAGAATGCAATGAAACTCAGCTTGTATTTATTTTTGTAAGCTTTGTAGCGTTTTTACTTTTCAACAACTATTGGTGTGTGAAGACACATACAGACCACTGAAAGGGCTTCCCATAAATATTACAATGGAACAGACTGACCCGTGCAAGCAGCAACTACTGGAGAACATCTATCAATCCATAAAAATCCATATTTTTTTAAGTCTTTATGCTGTTTGGTAGTTTTAGAATAAGTTTAAATTTATCCAAGGAGGAATACAGCTCAAAGCACAAACAACTTCAAAATACAATATAACATAAGAAATCTGTCAAGGGGAAGAGTGGCATAAAATCTGTTTGTTCACAGTTAAACAGGTTTTTTAAGTCTAGTAACCAGCACCTGATTTGTTTTACATTGACAAAATGTAAAAACAGCACATTAAATTCTGTGATTACTAAGAAAGAAAGGTATATCCAGAAATGTAGCAAGTTCACCCAAATCAAAAGCAAAGCCAGGATGCACATATGACAAACACAAGCTTCTGTTTGCAGCACATTTTTTTTTTCTTAATAGGAACTAAGCTCTTAACTCTTAAGCAGTCATTTCATGCATTAAGCACACACCACAATTAAAACAGCCACACATCCACTCACAAACAAAACCTAACATGGAGCCTGGATTTCAAAACTACACAGTTCAAGAACACATTTACTTCCTCCACTTGACATGGATGTTTGCTACAGCCTAGTGCCAACTACGCTTAGCTTAGGAAGTTACAGACACAGGGCTCAGATTTAATCCTTGCTGTCAATGACCCACTGTAGAAGTGCCATTATATTAAAGGCTGTCAAGGGCAAGGACAGTACATAAGCTCAGTTCAAAACAACAGGATAATTTTCTCACCTCCGATCGTACTTTCTTGAAACTCATGAAACTGTCCTTTTACAAATCGAAGCACCAAACTTGATTTGCCAACTGCAGACTCTCCTAAAAGTACTAGTTTGAACTGGCAAATTTTATTTCCAGCATTTGGCCCATTGGGTCTTGTTGCTCCTCGATTAGCCATGTCCAAATTAGAAAGAAGTCCTTTATTTCAACAGCTTATGAAAGCAAGTTCCAGGATTCAGACCTCAGTGGTTCTTCTGCCAGTAACAACCTATTTGTGAAAAGACAGTGGGTGGTATTAGATTTACAAACCAAGTAAGAAAAATTTCATTCACTAATGAAACATGTACTACATATAACTTGATCTAATATTTACCAAAGTGAACAGTCCAGAGTATAGCTACCATCGCTGCTAAGTTGTCAACTATAGCCAGAATTTATGACAAATGAACCAGTTCTCTTCTTCAATATCTAGTCTTCCCATTACAGCTTCAAATTAGGACAATGAAATTCAATTATGCTACTTCTTGCGAGACTTTGGTCTCTTATTTCTTAGGATATCAAGATTTAAGTGTAATACAACATATTCAGACTTTGAAATTATCGGTAAAATATCAAATGACAAGAAGTAATAGCTTTTCCATAATAATGCCACTGCTAACCAATATTCCAAAGTTGTCACTAATAAACGATGCTAAAAAACTGAGCAAATTTGGAAAGCCCAAACACCACAGTAAGTTCTCTTTAAGTGTGAGTTGTCAACTCACTTTTATCAAATCCAGTTTCCTTACAGATCTTCACATACAAACCACTGATACATTCTCTAATTAGCAACTGTACTGAGAAGCAACAGTAAAGCCCTCCCTATGAAGAAAACCAGATTTTTCTTGACCAGTAAAAATTCCAGATCACTTTGTAAAAGCCACCAGAGAATTATGATGACAGATTTCTATTTCCAGTACTAACATGTCCTAATAGATCAATATTCACAACAAAGATCTTTGTTAAGAAAAACTATGAACACTGTATTCCTTAGTCTGTCTCCTTTTCAACTTCTTAAAAAGACCTCACCCCCAATATTTATTCATATGGACAGCTGTGGAAGCCTTTAGACTCTGCTGGTATCACTTCTGAGCCCAATATTTATGCTTTTACACACTTAACAGCAGATATGAAACAAAAGCCATGGCAAAACCAGCCTATAACTTCGTCCTACTCCAGCTGATTATTTACTTGAATTGTGCACACTTTGTGGGGATACAGCCTGTCTAGTATCCAGGATGCAAGAAAGTCAGTTTAGATTGCATTCTCCTAATGCAGGAAATGGCTTCAATACTTAGTTGCAAAAAGGTAAGCAAGCATAACACTTTCAAATTACTTCTTTTTCTTTATTCCTAGTGGTAAAGCAACTACATTTTAAACCAAGCAGTAGTCTTTAGCCATCTTCCTATTTCAAACCCTTTGGCACATAGATCAGGCACTTGAGCATTCCAGTTTGCCACATGCTGAGCTCAGACACTAAGCCTTCATTCTCCTTCCTGACTCTCCCTCCTTTTGTAAACTCAACCCAAGTCCTGAAGAACCTTATTTCCTGTAAAGTGCTTCAGCACTCTAGCAGAACTCCATCCTCTAAGATATTCCCTCACAAAGCTAATTTTCATGGAATAAATGAAAACAAAAATCTAAGCATTACTTACTGAATTACATTCCAGTTGAAAAACAGGTATTCTATTTCTCAGTGTACACAGAACTTGAACACAGTTCTTAAAAAAGCATTGTTAATATCCTAAAGACACTCCTGTTTGCTCACATTGCTTATTTTCTCATATCTCTTAAAATAATTAAGCTTGTTTCAGGTAGGATATTACAATTCCGTATTCTGTCCTGATTTTGTGTCCTATTTGACTATTACGTCTTCCTTAAATCAAAAGATACATATATTTTTTAAATTTTAGTTGTATAAAAGTCTAGTAAGTATCACATTTTATAGATACATTCTTACAAACACATCAAAGTGTACCACGGTAAAAGAAAGTTACTATGAAGCAAAAAACCCTTTGCATATCGCACCACCATTAAATACCATATTAATTCCATACTCAGACTATTACTCATTAAATTAATTTTGGTGCAATATTTCAGAATACAGGAATGGATTCAGTTATTTTAAAAATACTAGGCCTTTCATCCTTACACCATAAGACAACAATTCATGCACTGCTTGTGTGCTGGTTCTCCAGCAAGACTCTGCTACCTCCACAGTGCTGAAATATAGATCAGAAGTTGTGGAGCAATTTGGATAAAAATTGATCAGTGACAACAGTTAATCTCTCCCTAATTATACTACAATAGAGAAAGTAAGGCATAGCCAAAATACAGATAGTTCAGAATACTATTAGCCATTTGTTTATCTTTTCTTTTGGAAAATGAATGAAGACAATTATTTCTGGTTTAAAATGAAAAAAAAAATCTGTTTGCTGTAGCATTCCAGTGTGTTTGGACAACTATGAAATAATTTAAAACCCTTAAATCTTAACACATCCCGTGTTTTTCTAGACTCTGCAGCATTCATAAAGACATAAGGATGACATCCAATGACTGTGCAACTTAGTACTCTTGGGAGCAAGTGACTTCTGGATGACACACAGTGAGGAAATCAACCCACCACACTGGTTACTCGCTGTGACTGCTTTTTTGCTTGATGGTCCCTACACTGAGAGCAAAAGGAGGTACAACGGAAGAACAGGCAAGACTGATTCAACTCACATACTATTTACCTGTGTCAACTGGCCATTTAAAGCTTCTAGTTATTCAGATGTATATCACTTACGAAACAGTAATTACTACCCCTTGCAAAACTCCTTCCGAACACAAAGCTGGAAGGGATTGTCAAGAAAATTGTCTACTTCAGTTTTCACAGATGCCCAAGCTACAGAAGCTGTAGCTATCAGAGACCTTCAAAGTTTACACCCTTACAGCATCCCTCCCCCAAAATCATTCTAGACACTCACATATCAAGTACAAAAATAACCAGCTGCAAGGCTGATACCAAAATCTAAGAAACATACTGCAAACCTCATTCCTTTGATAGTCACATCAATATTTCTAATAAATTAATAATAAAACCTACTACAGTCATGCCACCCACTTTTTAACAGCTAAGGATAAAATAAATGCAAGACTGAAAACCTGATGGAGCACATCCAGATGATTTTGATATATTAAAAAAGTCACTAAGACCTTCTGTAAGTGTATATTGAAAGAATCATCTTTTGATGTTTCAGATGATGTTGAAACTCTTTAGTTGAAGTTCACAACATGGCAGCATACATACACAAAAGGCAAGGGACGCATTTCCTTAAACTGAAGAAGTACTGCAGTTTGACACTGCCACCACAGAATGTTTTTTGCCTGTTCTTTCTCACATCTGTGAGCTCAGCATAGTGCCTCACAAGGATTTAGAAGTAGATTTCAATGCTACCAACCCCATGCAAACTCCAAACCTCAGGTCATTTTCATTCTCACGTTTCTTAATTTATCAGTAGAATACAAGGCTTGAGAACTAGAGGTGAATACTACAGTCAGTATCCTACAGATACACTGAAAATTCAAGTATTTTTTGACAGATCACTTTCAAGACAATTCTGAACACTTACTCAAGGGCTCGTCTGCCATACCTATTTTTTACCCTTAACTCTGATGAAAATTTCCTGGCAAAGACCCACTATAATGCCTTCCCCCCCGCCCGCCCAAAATTTTGCACATTATGCACACTTTGTAATCAATACATTTGAAACACGTGAAGAAAGAAAACCTTGCTAAGAGATTTTCATTCACCTACACAAAAGGAAGTACATAACTGTTTGACTGGAACCAGAACTGATACATATGGGAGTTATGCAACAAAAATTATCAAAATCTGCTGAAGAAAATACTCTAAAAATTTCTGAGATGGATAGCTTCACATGAACAGAAACGAGGGAGATTTTCTTACTTTTATAGCATTTAACATAAAAACTCCACCATATATTAAAAAGCCCATTTTGCAGTCTTGGGCACTACGGATACACAGGTCCCTCTGATAAGTAGGAACTTTCACCCCTCCTGAATATCCCCAAGGCACAGCAGCTCCATGCTGAAATGCCAGAACACAAAGCTTGGAGCATGTTATTAGCAAAGTACCCCTGCTAATCCTACCAACTAATTCACCAGATGCTGGTATTCTTATCACTCTGGAAGTGAAATCTGTATGCTGCTGGAGAGTCTGAGTTTTATTTATGAAAGAGAAGAGTCCTAAGTATTTTAACAGATCACATACAAATCTTATTATGTTTGAATCTGTGTGCAAAATAGCAATAGCCCTAGCCAATACCTACAAATTCACAATTTGATGCCATAATTCAGTCATGGAAGCTTTCAGATCAGTGCCTATTTTCAACTACAACACAACTAGCACAAAAGTATCAAAGTGACACTGCTGACAAAAGCCAGTCTACTGAAGAGATTAAGAGACAAGTACTGTTCCTACAATTAATATGATTAAGTGCATTATCAAATACAAAGGCCACAACAAAAAAATCCACGTTAAATTTAAAACTGGAACATCTCACCACTTTTATATTTCATAGCAAACAACAGTGTTTCTTAGCATGAACACACTTGCTGTTGTATCAATTTCTAATAAACTTTTTCACACTTCTGTAACAGACAGAGATCATACAATGCTGAGTTTGCAACCATTATCTGTCTACTTTAAGTTTCTTTATACTGGACTACCCTGAATATTTTTAAAGAGCAGTAACCAAAAAGCCTGATCATTAGACACTCCTACTAACCGAGTTTTATGTTTTTCCTTTCCAGGTCCAGCAGAACTAGGGTGGCACCTTACTGCAGGGTTCAGGACAGTGATATGGACAACTGGCAAAACACGTGCCACATGCAAGCCAGTTTATACTGAAACATAATGAGACAGTAAGTTAAACAAGTGAATCAACACAATTGCTGCAAAAAGTCATAGCCTTCCCATTAAATGTAATAGGAAGTTCATAAGCTCATCTGAATGATGAGTGGTGCAAACTGCTTTCAGATAAACTGGTTTATCATACAGGAAATGTAAGTAACAATGATGACTACCAATACCATTGTCTCTAGCCACCTCACTTCAGCCAACATCTGCCTTTCTCCTGATATTTCTTACAGAAGAACAATACATATATGCAATCTAGCCTGACCATAACTCTGAAAAGTCACTATGAAACCAGAAAAGAAAACACAAATGTCACACTTCTTACTTGGCCTGAACATTACATGGAAGAAGCTGATTAATTTCAGCTACTTAATTAGCTGTTCAGCCTCTCTTGTCTATCCCCAAGCTCTGAAAGAGGCATAAGATATGGAAAAAAAATAAAAAATGCTGAAAGAACAGCTATTTACGGCCCTATTGTTTGGAACATTTTGATAGCTCTTAAACCGTTTAGCTCTCCTCTAAAAGATAAAAAGGCACGGGTTTGTTTCTCCACCATACTCTGGCTTTACATCCAGTTCCAACTGAGTGTACTATAAAACGTATCAGTACACCAAGGCCTGTCGTGATTCCCCCGATACCGACGCGCTGTCGGGAGTATTTTTACTTCCCATCTAATTCACCTCCAGCCGCAAGTGAAAGGGAAAGCGCGGGGCACATCACCCAACCTCCCCTTTCGTACCTCACAAGCAACTCGAGGGCAACAACCCTCACGGCCGGCCCCGGACACCGACACCTCCCCGCAGGAGCGCCCGCACGCCGGGCAGGATCTCCGGTCCCCCGGGCCTAGCCCCTGTAGCCCCCTGCCGCCGCCTCCCCTCCCCCGCGGCTCCTTCCAGGCACAGGAATAAGGGGAAGTGGGAAAACCGGGGGCGCCATTTTGAGCCGGGAAGGGAGCGACCCGCCTCTCCTCGCCGCACACCGGGCCGCCCCCCCGGCCGCCCGCCCCGCGGCACGGCGCCCCCGCAGGGCCCGGGGAGCGCTCCCGCACACCGGGCGCCCCCCGCCCCTCTCCCGCCGCCGGGGCCCCCCGCGCCGCCGCCGCCTCCTCACCTGGCCGGGGCGGAGGAGCCGGGACGGCGGCGCAGCACTGTCCGTGGGGGCTGGCGGGCAGGGTGTGCGGAGGAGGGGAGAGGGGAGGCGGGTCCGTCTGGGGGCGAGGGGCGGGGGCGCGGCCGAGCTGTCCCGGTCCCGGTCCCAGTCCCGGCCCCGCCGCCACTTCCGCCGCCGCCGCCCCGGCCCAAACACGCTCGCACCCGCGCACACGCACTTCCGCCGCCGCCGCCACGTCACGGCCCCCACGCGCCCCGCCCTTCCGGCCCGCCCGCGCCGTCACGCGGCTGGCCGTCCTTCCCCGCCTTCCCCTCCTCCCTTTGTTCCCGCTCCCCCCGCCTTTCCCTCCTCCCTTTGTTCCCGCTCCCCCCGCCTTCCCCGCAGCGCCCCGGCCCGGCCGCGCCCAGCCTGCCCTCCTTCGCAGGGACGTACCGTTTCTCCTGCCTACATCAGCACCCAGAGGTCGCTCTCTGGGAGCGACCCGCGCATCTTCCCATCGCCTTCCATTTACTGAGAGGGTGGCGAGGCACTGGAACAGGTTGCCCAAAGAGGTGGATACTGCAGTCCCTGAAGTGTTCAAGGCCAGGCTGGATGGGGCTCTGAGCAACCTAGTGGGAGGTGTCCCTGTCCATGGCAGGGGGATTGGGACAGGATGATCTTCAAGTTTCCTTCCCACCCAGGCCATTCTGTGATTCCATGCCAATCCTATGGGGACTGCGCGGGCAGTGCCGCCTGAGGAGGCCACTGAACTCCTCCAGAGCTTTTCCAAATCAGTTCAAATGAGGAACTACACAGGAAAATCTGAACTGCAATTGGGAATTTACCTGACTTTTTAAAACATTGAACAGGCACTGATAAAGCCTTAGAAGCTGACTCATTACTGGCAGAGTGCTAAAAACTTGAGAGGACAGGTTGCTAACACAGAAAAGTCTTGATTGCTTCATAGATGGATATGAACAATGTCTTGGTTGCTTCATAGTGTGAAGAATGACCTTGTGAGAGTGAAGAATCAGTTGGTCACAAACTATAAGTGGACTGTATAGGAAACAGAACAGTAATGATAAAGTGTTTCCACACTATAGCAGATTTTACAAGGTCTAATACTTTGAAGGAAATTAAAAAAAACCCTGCTAAGATGTTTAATAAGTTTATCTATAATGGTATTTAGTAATTGGTACAATTTAATTAAGATTGTTTAGATACTCCATCACGACAGATACTGAATTGAGAGTTGGTGTTGCTGTATTCTCAAAACAAGTTTTAGCTCAACCACATATATTTAAATGAAGCAAAAATTATGTTATGGAAGGCCTATGGTCAGTGTTGTGCTGGAAGTGAGGCTCCATTATGCCATTCATTCATAAAATATGACTTTATTGTAGTTGTCCAGTCAGTTCTCTTGCCAATGCAGGTTTATCTCCTCCTGTTGTGGGTGGTACTTTAGAAATATCCTGATTACCAAGGAGAAGGGCTAAATTAATCACATCACAGCTTTTTTTTTTTTTTAAATAATCTCCATTCTTTAGTACTGCTTTAGAAATATTTTTCTGCTTGTAAAATATTATAGCAAATTTTTTTGTCTCTTTTTTTTTTCACCTTCTCTAGTATGAACAGTATCAATACTTTAACATACTGAAATGAATGGAGTAAAAACAGATTTTTCTTTTTCTTTTCATCTTCGACAGTTCTTCTTTTCCATATACTTTTCCTTTGGTACCAGTTTGGTCTCAGAGCAATAATTTCCTCACTCTATTTTACTTAGTTGAATTTAATCACTTACATAAATGCTTTTTGTAAAACAAATATGTGACTTCAACAAAGTAAAAATGTCCTTGTGTTCACCAGCGGTGTAGAATGCCAGCCTACTTCCAAAGAAACATGTTTGAAAGTGTGCAAGTTTTCTGAGCTGTGAGTCTGCTAAATGTTTGTAAGAGTTGTCCATTAAATCAGGTAATCCTGCCCTGATGTACCACTTACTTGTCATAACCCTCTGACTGGCTTCAGTCTGCTCAACTGGACTGCAGAATTTGGTGAGCAAAACATCAGAATCCTGATAAACAGATGGTTTTTACCATATACGTTATGACCATACGTTCAGGCACCAGCCAGCATCCAGCCAACCTGGCAGCTGCTTGCTCACTCACTCACCTCCCTGCAGTAGGACAGAGAACAGAAGAGGAGGAACAAAAGCAAGACAACTTGTGGGTCAAGATAACGACAGTTTAATAGATGAAGGAAAGAGGGAGGGAAAAGACAATACAAAAGAAATTGCTGACTACCTCCCATAAACAGACCGATGTCCAACCAGTCTCCAAGCAGCAGCCAACTTGGAAGACATCTTCTTCTACCTCCAATTTCTATTGCTGAGCATGATGCTATGTGATATGGAATATCTTTTTCATGAATTTGGGTCAGCTGTCCTGGCTGTATTCCACTCCCAGGTTTCTTGACCATCTGTCCAGCATACCTTCTGGGGGAGAAAGGGAAAGTCCTGACCCTGTTTCAGATGAAAAAAATGGTTTCAGTGAAAAAAAATTAAAATATTAAAAATTTAAATATCAAGTCATTAATAGAATAACTTGAACTAAATTCAGTTCAGAGATTAAATGCTCGTGTCATACATGACATTTGATGTTTCATATAGTCTCAAGTGAAGACCTGCTGATGGAAGTATGATCCAAGTCCATTTCTGTTTCCAGCTGCAAGCTAAAACCTCTAGAGTAAGTTGTGATACTGTATAGCTGCAGAGTGAGTTGGATCAACCAATGATATCATGCAAAAATTATTCACCAGAAGACATAATTTTGTGGTCTGAACACATCAAATTGAACCATGTCTGCTGTGGCTTCAGGCTCTCTAGATCTGGTGCACATGAGAGTAAAGGAGTTCAGAGAAGACAATGGGCCAAGAACCTCCTGTTTACCAGTAGGCTTTAGTTAGGTGCAACATGAAATGCCACATTCAGTTTACACAACAAGAATGAGAGAAAATACAGAACATGATGCCCATAATGTTCAGGAAACAAGAACCATAACATTCCATATGTAGGGATCACGTTCTATGCTTCTAATATAAATAGATAAACGCTTTCTAGAATTGGAATAATCTTTCAGATTGTCAGTTCTGAAGTTCAAGGCTGAGTCAAATTTTTGATGCAGGAATTCTGTTCATGTGATATAATTGCACTAACAAAAAGGATGTAAAAGGAATAACATATTACTTTCTTAGAGAGTAGAGAATTTTTCAAAATGCTTTGAGCAGACTTCAGAAGTGCTGCACTAGGCCATTTTGCTGAAACTGCTAGCATGAATGGAAATCTCATATGCTTTTTGTCTGTTAGCTATATAGGCAGAGCTACAATACTGGTGTGCTGCTAGGAAGTCTGCGTTACATGCAGGAGGTTCATACTGACTGACTTACTCCCTGACCACAACAGTCTTGGCATTATGGGTCATATGGCAAATACCAAAAGTGAAACTGTGATGAATGATATTAACGAATTTATCTTAGTGGGTCATGGTTTCACCAGATGGATTTCCACCTATTTTAGCATTTGTCTGCAGAGTTCTTTGCTTGGCCTTTTTGTGTTTCAATCCGGTGCTAGATGTGTAATTATAAATGGAAGTTGACCTTAGATGATGTGCAGAATCTCTTTAGTGTGTTTGAACTTCCCATTTTTTTAATGTGTCCATCTGCTATAATATCCTTTTTTTCTGTCTTCTATCACTGCTTGTGTACATCTTCTCTGTACCTACATTAGTTTTATCACACCATAGCTTATGAAATGTGTGCAGTGCATAGAAAGGAGGGATTTACTATCTGTAAATGAGTTGAATTAAAACCATGAAAGTAACCAGGCGATAACAACAGCAGAGTGCATCAGCATAGCTGATGTCCTTCAGGTGTTTCACAAAATTTGCACTGTTTTACATGGAGTTCTCTGACCTTCAGAGACCTTAAGGAATTTACAAATTTAGTGCCTAGACTGCCGTCTGTGCCAGCACCATAGTCAGAGTGAGAACTGTGTTGCAGAACACGGGGTATTTGTGCTTCATAAAGAAAGTAAAATGCAGGGTTTTAGGGAGTTTCCATTCCTCAGTTTTAGCCTAAACAAGACAGAAAAAGGCATTAGACTGTGGGAATTGGATGTCAGCAAATAGTGAAATGTCAAGTACTGTTGAGGAAAAAAGTGCTGCTGTAGAATGGAAAATTTTGTTCAACTTTTTCCAAACAGATTTCTCTAGAGATCCTACTTTTTTAACATAGGAGATGACAAACTCATGCTGAAATAAAAAGAGTTTTGATCTTTTTCCCTAAAATTGAGTTCGACTGGTTTTTTTTAATTCTTCAGCTTATCTTTAAACTTTACAGATCCTTCCCACCCTATGAATATTATTTCATCCTGTGGATGAAATAACTTTCAATATAAGAAGGAATGAATATGACATTGATTCCTAAAATGAGAAGAATTATAGGAAAGAATGTGTATTGGTAGTAGGTTTCAAATTGATTTATAGGGATCTCTATTTCTGCTGAAGAGAAAACAACCACACAGAGGCAAAAAGAGAAGGCTGAGGACTTCTGCTTTACTTGTTTCAGGCAACAGACATTCTTTTTACATGGCCAGGTCCTATTTTAATTCCTTTGCCACAACCTGCTCCATCGGGGCTGAGTGGACTCCTTCAATTAGCAAGTGTGGCCACCTACCGGGGAAAAAACAATGTAAAAATAAATCAGCAAGTTACAGAATGTACAAAAAAATGGTAATATCTTGAGCACAGATAGAGAGACATCTAGAAATACAGCAAACACAAGGAAAAAATTCAAGTGCCCTATTGTTACTGTCTAATTTGTGCGTTACTGTACTTTGCTCTTCCTCTGTATAGTTTCCTCTTTTTCTGACAGCTTTATCCTTACCCAGTTACTTCTCTCAATGAGATCAAATTCCTCCCAAATTTCTAATACCTGAAGTTTGGTTCAAATCACTATTTAGCTTTTACTAGATAGAAATTGCACCTTATAGATGAATGGATCACAAAGCAAGGCATAACCAATCATTACCACTCTAAGTAACAACAAATGTGATTGCAATAAGAAATTAACTGAACACATTAAGAATTTAAAAGAGCTTCTTTAGTTCTCAAGTG